ATCTTATTTTTATCTTTCGAAAGGATAGACATTAAATTAAGATAACATTCTTCGTTAAAAATGTTTTATGAAACATTTGGATTCTACGATTAAAAGTATACTTAGATAGAGTTACTTTATAGTTAAACCTGCTCTTTGAAGTTTTTTTTTATTAATGATTATCAAAAATAGAATGACAGGATTTTTCTATGCGTTCGCGTTCGCGTGTGTGTGTTTTTTAAAATCTTATTTTTATCTTTCTAAAGGTTAGACATTATGAAATAAATTTCATTTCATTTCATTTCATTTCATTTCATTTCATTTCATTTCATTTTATTTTATTTCATTTCATTTTATTACTTATCTTCTTTACTTTTTAGTATTTATTTTTTCCTCAACCTTATTTGAAATAAAATTTATTTCACATTGGTCTTTGAGGTGGTTGCTCAGTTTAACACTTCGTCGTTGGTTGCGTTAAACAGTAAAAGAAGTAACGTCGAGTGCAAACCAGCTTTATGATCGAGTACCTATTGCGGAAATTGGTGGAAATAGAGAACCGCACCCTCTGTTCTTTTCCGATCGATCATCATCACTTTCAGTACAACGCGTTCCTTTCCTTTCGAATGAGAAATCAAAATTCAACGACCAATTTCTTTTTCCAAAGGTGCCGAATGCAACTGGCAAGATGAGTTTCCTTCTCCCCACTCCCCCTTCCCCCTGCCTGCCTGTTGATTTTTTCAATACAAACACATTTCATAGTTATTGCTTTACTTACACACTTTATATATAAAATAAATATTAAATTTAAGTCCTCTGTATACGTGTATGTTTGAATGATAACGAAATTATAATTTTCAGTGAGTTATGTAACATAAATTGTTATAGTAATCATGTTCAATGGTGATATTCAATTTTATTAGAACATTTTCTAAAATTATTATTCGTATTGGGTGCATTAATATAGAAAATTATTATATATATATATAATTAATAATAATAAAATAAATAATAAAATAATTAATAATAATATAATAAAATAAATAATAATTAATAAAATAATAAAATAAATAATATAATATATTATTATACGTTGCACCATTTAATGATTAATTTTCGTTGAAATTTTTCGTACGAGTTACGCGATAATATTTGGACTCGTGAATATTTTTTTATCATCATTATCATCATCATTATTATTATTATTTTTCTCGCCTTTTTAACAAAAAGAAAACGTGATTATAGTTGCAAATATCATGTTAACATTTTAACGAAAATTACGAAGTAGGTGAAATGGTATTTGTCGAATAATACCAGTCGTGATTTTGCACCGAATTTCTAAACGGGGTCGGCACATAATTCATAACAGTAAGTTGTCCCAGACACTTTCTTGACCTCACTGAAGATAAGTCCGAAATTAATGCATTCATCGTAAATTTACTATTCGTATATAATATTCGTACATTTGCATTGTTTATTATCTTGATTGTTTTGTGCGTTAATTAATTCCTCGTATTAAAACATTAGTAGAATTATTTATATTCATAGCTTTAAACAGAAATTAAATGACTCTACAATGTTACATAATAATAATAATAATAATAATAATTAATTGAATGTAGGTTACGATTACGCGTATTTTGGCACGTGCAGAATAAAGCTATTGGAATAAATAAATGTGTATGGAATATTTTAACTTTATTATACAGTGCATTATATTTAATTAATTTAAAATCATTTTGGAAAATTTGTATCGTTACGATCAGCGTGTTACATCTGCATATTTTCCAACATCATTTTTTTTCAATAATACAATACTTTGCATTAGTATAATAAATACAATTTTGTAATTGTATAAATTAATCATTTAATCAATAACCATCACGTTATTAAAATATATCTCTGAGACAATGACACGTTTATTAATGCTTGTATTATTAAATTTAAAAAACTTAATTAGTATCTATATATTAACATAAAACACGATTCAATAATTGTTATAGTAAATCTCGAAATTCGGATGAATATTTTCAAACGAATTATAATAATCGTCTCGTGGAGTATCTGAATGATTGTGTAAATTTAAATTGTTATTTTAATTGTACAATCGTACTTTCAATTAGCCAATCGATAAAAGTCGAATATTTAATTGTACACATAACGAGATTTCATTTATTATTTGTTTGTTTCTTCCAACAAAAAAAAAAAGAAATGATTGCTTTAGAAAAATAAGAATAAAAAATATAATGGAAAATTAAGTTATAATATGGTGACTCGTTATACGAAAGCTTTTCAACGGGTATCGTTAAAAAGGGTGAGTGTGCAACAACGTGTATGATGTGTCGATAGTATGTGTGCGAGCTTGCATAGCACCTCCCCATCCAGGTGCAACGACATTTTGGCAGTTAATTGCATTAGAGGTACCACGAACTGCCACTGTCACTTAAATGTAGTAGTAACCCATAGGGTAGTGCAGCTGCACCATCATTCTCTTTCCTAATAACTCATAATTAAATCACTATATTGTATCGATCTAACATATTGGCTAATTTATTAGCCTAATTAATAACCTATTCGAAACGTTTGACCATCTGATTTTTGTTCTCTCATTTTTTTTGTTACATTTATCATTTATAAAAATAATTTTTTCGCATTGAATTATTTAATTTTTTAATTATTAAATATTTTAATATATAATATTAAATTTCTTGCCATTTTCTTTTTTTTAGTAGTTTATTAGTTATAATTTTTGTTTGTTATTATTTTATTTTTGTTATATGCTACGTAAAGAAACAATTAACGTTAGACAATCAATTAATAAAAATCATTACAATCCAATTAATTAATCCTGTTTTAATTAACTAATTCCTATAATCGATCAGTCAAATTAAAACATGAGAATAAAACAAAATAAATTTATTTAGTATTAAAAAAAAAAGATAGAACGAAATTCAATAAAATCAAATTAAATGAAAAATATTATGCACGTGAAAAAAATTTTACTATACGTGTGTGTGAAAATATTTCGTATATAAAGATTTTGTCTGAAAATAATGAAAAAACTTGTAGAACAATTTGATGATGATTATTAGCATGAATATGCTAACACACACATACTTCCATTTCAAAATCAACACGTACTTTTCGTACAATCCGATAGTTTGAAGGAAACAATTCTAAAACGTAGAGAATATTAATTATATGTATTCGCAAACAACATTGTTCACTCGTAGTTAGATTCCATATTATATTCGATCAATACTTCGTTGATACTGTTGTCAGAAATACGATTAAATTAATTGATCATTCGTGTAACATAGTTAATCCGGGCTCGTGATCGAACTTACCAAGTATTCCATTGAATTCTACAGTATCTAAACTCTCGATTTGAATTTTGGTTTAATTATAGTTACTATTATATATATATATATTCAAATCTCTATCGATTTATTAAATGTCAAATTGGTGTAATGTTAATTAAACTAAATACTGAATTTATTTTCTTCAAAAAAGTCATTGAAGAACCCCCCTCCAATTGTTAAATAATATTTGACGAATTTTCTATTAACAATCGGTGTCGCGTGGATTATTATTTATTTTTTTCGTTACATTTTTAAATTTTTCTCCTACGTAAACTTTTGACTCATAATTTCTTTTTATTCGATATCTTTTTCTTCTTCTTCTTCTTCTTTTGCACTTAACACGGTTCACGTAGGAAAAACCACGAGAAACGATGGAGAGTAATGGCTTTAAAAACCTCCATGGATGAGTTGGGGGGTGAGGAGGGGGGAGTGTTAAGGAAGAAAAGGACTGGTAAAGGATATGGGGTTGTCTTTTTCGAAACGAAAAGAACCGAAGGAAAA